AGAAAAACTTGTAACTAAATCTCAAACATTGAATATAATTACTGATTTTTTTTTTTCTTTTCACTCTCAGGCAGGATGTCAGATAAACAATAGCTGACAAAGCAAGTTACACTGTCTTTTAAAAGTCAATTAATTAAAATCCCTGTTCAGTTTCAATTGTGGGGTTTTTGTTGTGTAGTTTTAAAAAAAAAAACTAAACAAACAACCCCCCACCCCCCAAAACAAATCTTGTCTGAATCCAGTAAATGACAATCTGCTTTGTTGAACATCATTTTATGTTTGTAGAAATATGCAAAATGTTAAACCCTGCTTATGTATGAATATGCTAATAATGGCTTATTTAATAAGTCAAACTTTTTTTTAATCTTTCAGCTGTACTTTGGGAGCAACTCATTCAGTGTGTTCTGACAATGTGTTGAATTTTAATAAGTCACTGAGGAAAAACTGTCTGTATAAAGTATGTATTGCCTTTGCAGAGGTCTGGTTGTATCCAATGTGTGCAAGTATGAACTATAATTATTTGGTAGAATCTTTTTGTTGTTAGCTTTTGGATTTTTTTTTTTTTTTTAAACCCTGTTCCTTCAAAGCTTCTGTGTCATAGAACAGGTCACAAACTTAGTACAGCACCAGCTAATGTACAGAATTGGTGACTTCCTATCAAGTAGGAACTTGGAACATATATTTTGTTACATTCTTGCCAGACTGCTGGGCTAAGTATTGTACTACAATGTAGATTTGAAATTGATAAGTGCAAGTTGGTACTCGTTACTATTTTTATAATGGAAGGATAGAACTATAAATGAAAATGTCAAGAACAACTCTTCAGTTTCTCTTGATTTAACAGATATAAAGAAGGTTTTGGATAAATTCTCCTCACTCCAAAATGGCTTGGTTTAGATATTGAATAAATCTCTAACCTATACAAAATTTGTAAGCTTTAGTTTACGGTAACTGACTTGACCTGAATTGTTATTGTGGCTACCTGTCAGGTGTATCAGATGCTCTTATTCCTTTTCACTCTTTGCTTTCCCCTAGAAAATAAATGTACAACAAATTGTCAAGGAATGACAAAGGACAAAGGGATTGTAATAGCAAATCATCATAGCAGTCTGTCTCTCTTTTTATCCCTGACTTCCTCAGTTCTTTTCTACCACACCATCTCTTGTCAACTGCAGACAATTTTTTTTATACTTCCTAGGGTGCAACAGAGTAGTAAAAACTAGATGCTCTAGCTGAATTCATTCTGCATTCTTATCTGCTGACATGCTTTCAATTTAGTTTTAATTGGAAACCAAATGGAAAACATTTTTGTGACCTACTGTGATGATTTATAGCAGGCTATTAAACATACTGAAAACATGCAATTTAAAAGACCATTATAGTTGGATCTCTGATCCCCACCTCGTGTCTCGGTCACAAGAAGCGTTGACTATGAGAGTGGCAATACTTGACAAGTCAATTACACTTGTATGCATAGTAGGCTTTTCATCTACTATAACACCTTGTAAAATCCTGTAGAAAAAGAAGTCTTTATCTACCCAGAAACTTGGTATCCTTTTGATAAAGCAGAAAGCATTAATTTCTCTGCCCCCCACCCCCCACAATGCCTATGAGTACCACTTTATAACAGTATTAAACTTTAATATCATAAACTAAGATTTACATGATTTTAACCAGTGGTGCTCAATCTTCTGGCCCCATACGCCAGAAGTGGTACAGGGCTTGTCTGGGGGTCAGGATTGAGCATCGCATGCCTCTGCTGGTCCTTGTAGGCCAGGATTGAGCCCTAGTGCCCTGAAGTATTCCTACTTGGCCTCCAAGCACTGGGATCAGGCCCTGCACAGTGAATAAGTGGGATAGTATGGCTATGCTGTACTAACCCACGGTGTTTCTGGTGGATTCAGAAATTTTAGCAGTAGAGAAACAGCCATTGCTTCCCCACTGCCGAATTTTCAGTCCCATGGACTAGATGACATGGTTCTGGTGGCTGGCTCTGGCCTCCAGGCCAGGGGTTGAGGCTTCATATTTTAAACTGAGGGGAACACCTCCAGACCTAAGGTTGAGGAGGACTGGGTTAGAGTGCTTCTGGAGGGGCTAGACATGTTCAAATCAGCAGGTCCAGATGCTCTCCAACCCAGGGTGCTGAGGGAGCTAGCAGGGGTTATTGCAGGGCCCTTGGCATAGCTTTTCGAGTGTTCATGGTGCTCAGGCCAGGTGCCAGATGATTGGAAGGTGGCCAATGTGATTCCCATCTTTAAAAAAGGGAGGAGGGAGGACCCAGGCAACTATAGGCCTGTCAGTCTTAACTCAATCCTGGGGAAACTCTTTGAGAAGATCATCAAGGAGCACATCTGTGATGGTCGAGCATTGGGGATGATGCTCAAGGGCAACCAGCATGGTTTCATTAGGGGCAGGTCATTTCAGACCAACCTGATTGCCTTTTATAATCAGGTCACAAAAGCATTGGATGCAGGTGTCGCCATGGATATAGTCTTTCTGGACTTCAGCAAGGCCTTTGACACTGTCTCTCACCCCATCCTCATTTAAAAAAACAAACAAACTAGGCAACTGTGGCATTGATGCCCACACAGTCAGATGGATTGCAAATTGGCTGAAGGGTCCTACTCAGAGGGTGGTGGTGGACGGGTCATATTTGACTGGGGGGGGGGAAGTGGGCAGTGGAGTCCCCCAGGACTTGGTCCTTGGGCCCACACTGTTCAATGTCTTTATCAGCAATTTCAATGACAGGGTGAAAAGCAACCTGTTCAAATTTGCTGATGATACCAAAATTGGGGGTGAGGTGGGCACGCTAGCAGGGAGGGAAAGACTGCAGCAAGACCTGCATAGGTTGCAGGGGTGGGCTAACAAAAACAGGACACGTTTCAATACTGACAAGTGCAGGGTGCTGCACTTGGGCAGTAGTAACCAGCAGCACACTTATAAGATGGGAAACTCCCTTCTTGAGAGCAGAGAGGCAGAAAGGGATCTTGGAGGTATCATTGACTCCAAGATGAACATGGGCCAACAGTGCGAGGTCATGGTCGGCAGAGCTACCCGGATCTTATCATGCATCCACAGGTGCATCTCAAGTAGGGCCAAGGAGGTGATCCTCCCCCTCCTACATGATGCTGGTCAGGCCACAGCTGGAGTACTGTGTCCAGTTCTGGGCACCCCACTTCAAGAGGGATGTGGACAACATTGAGAGGGTCCAGAGGAGGGCCACCCACATGATCCAGGGACAGCAGGGCAGACCCTACAATGAGAGGCTATGAGACCTGAACCTGTTCAGCCTTCCCAAGAGAAGGCTGAGGGGGGACCTGGTGACAGTCTATAAACTCACTAGGGGGGGACCAGAAGGGTTTGGGGGAGACCTAGTTTCCCCTAGCGCCCCCGGGATGACGAGGAATAATGGCCACAAGTTGTTGGAGAGTAGGTTTAGATTAGACATCCGTAGGAACTACTTCACAGTTAGGGCGGCTAGGATCTGGAAGCAACTTCCAAGGGAAGTGGTGCTGGCTCCTACCCTGGGGGTCTTTAAGAAGCGGCTCGATGCCTACCTGGCTTGGGTCATTTGAGCCCAGTTTTCCTCAGCAAACCTGGCTTGGTCCTTGCTGCTGTCCTTTGACCTTGTCTAAATTGGTTTAGCTCTATTTGAAAGTATTTATTTTTGTTTTTCAAGGTTTCCGCTCTGCTAAGGAGAGAATACTAGTGTAGAGGTGCTTCCTGGCAGCCATTCTGAATTTTTAAGTGTTATGGGTGTTGAACAATAGCTGTGTGTCAAACTCCTACTTCAATTTTCCAAGATGCATGTCATTCTGACACTCTTCCTGAACAGGGCTAACCAATGAGGTATGTGGTATGGCAGACATCTGTGGTGTCACATGTTCAGCTGTTCTCTGCACTGCAAGGGAGCATTGCAGAGGGTTGGCTTTTTTTTTCCTTTTTGCCCCTGGATTTCCAGGGGTCAAAAGTGTAGTGGCGCATGTGGTAGCAGTGTGGGGCACCCAAACCCAGAGCCATACTTTTGCTGCTGGCCATGTTCCCTATGGTAGGAGTGACATGGCTGCAGCCCCGGGAGGCCCTCGGGACCTTTGATAAGGCTGTTGAGGCCAGCCCAGTGCTGGCCCCAGCCTCTCCTACACCACCTGGGATAACTTGCTACATGACGGGGCATGCCTAGCATGGGTGTTCCCCAGGGACAACTAGAGGCGGCACAAGATGAGCCGCCACTAGTTGTCTGTATGGAACCAAATATCCATACACATCTGGATGCAGCCAAAGACATTAAATTACTCTTCCCCATGACTCTTATACATTGGTGCATGTATTGGCATCAATTTGGATACAGTTTATAGATTTTGTTTGTTTCTTTTACTATCAAGTGAGAAGTGGGCAACTATTGCCCAAGGGCTGGAAGGTATCCAGCTTTAGGGCTGCCCAGATACTTACTTCAGAACTTTGCCAACAAGCATTTGGCAGGATCTCTGGAGCTGCAGAGTGTGGAACAGAGCAGAGTCCTGGTTGTACAATTTAGATGTTAAGAAGCTTGGAGTGGTATGCTATGTATATGAATGCTAAAGCATAGAGCAAATTGTTATGTGGGAGCCTTGTAGTTAAATGGCAACAAAATAGAAACACTAGTTAATTTACTACCTACGTAATAACATTTGTTTAAAATTAAAATATTCCAAATACTATTTACAATGTTTCTAAAATATTTACTAGTATGATTCATATTCTCCAGTTGATTGGAAACATTATCTACTTACTACGATTTTTACTATAATACCCTTGAGGTGTAACTTTGTAGTTTGGTGTGGCTTCAGCTAAAAGCTAAATTGAGATGAAGGAAGACTAATGGACACACTCATTGGTTTTTCATCACTTCTTCCCCCTTTCATGTACACTGATAACTTTTGAACAAACATAAGTCTATCTCAGAAGTTACATACATGTAACCTAATATTAATATTGAGATTTCATGTTTTGGTTTCTTCTAGTTGCCTACTTGAGAAATGAGGACAGTGCTGCAATGGCAGAGCTCCCCTTTCTTAAGGCTGACATCAGAGAGATATTTGAAAGTAAGCATAATGCCTCTTCAGCACTCATCCCAGGCTATCTACTCGGCAATCAGTGACTTAATATGGCAATGATTTAATGCTCTTCTTGAAATCCAATCTTTTGATAAAGCCTATAAGTCACAAGTAATATCTGACTTCTAACTAGTTAACAATTATGATGTCTCCTTTGTATAGAAGTATCATTTATATATATATTTTTTAAGCATTTGACTCGAACCACAGTTTTTACAGCACTTTAGATTTGAAATATAACTAACTTCTGGGAAGTATAATCTTGTATGAACTTGTAGTCTTTTACCCATCATCATCTTTAAGATGAAAGACATGAGGCAACACTTGTGACAACTGAATTTGCTTTTAGAAAAGAGTTAACTCTTCATGAAAACGCCTCCATCCAGAAGAGCACAAGATTTTTTTTTTTTTTTTCATGCCAAATCGGGACACTTACTAAGTTTTTATTCTGCAACCTGAGATGTTTGATGACAAGTATAACATTGCATACAAGGACTCGTCAGTATTACTTCAGGTTGCTTACCACTTGCATTAAGACCCCAGCTTCAGCTATTTCTAATTAACTCAAATTGTAATCCTTGGGATGAAATTTTACATTATAAGAATCTGATGAAAAGTTCAGTTGCTTTGGACAATAAAATTAATATTTTTCTTAATAATTTTTCCCCGTAACTTTAACCATACCATTGAAAACTACAGTGCCTCCATGAGCTAAAGGGATAGCCTTGATTTTTGGCAAGATCATTGCCCTAGGGGGTTATGGGGAGTGGTGCATAGTTTTTGTTTTGTTTTATTTTATTTATTTATTTATTTTTTGCACCTATGAAATCCACCCAAATTTGACTGTTATGAATAAATGGCAATTTACAGAACATGAATAAATTATTAACTGAGGATGAGCAGTGAAGTCCTTGGAAGACTCCATCTGCCTTGCTGCTGCTTAAGGACAGAGCATGCTCAAATGTTTTGGTGGTTTGTTTTTTTTTCTTGTTGGGGTTTTCTTGTTTTTGGTTTAAGCTGGAATTCTTCCTGTAATTGCTCCTCTTAGCTCCCAGGGCTGCTGGGGGTCAGATACTGCAACTACCCACAACAACAATTGTCTTTTATGCTGTTATTGCCCTGCCTGATGATATTTTGGTAGCATGAAGTGAGGAAAGATGCCTGACTGGATTGCTCAGGAGTGAAAAGAAGAAGAATGGGTGTGAGGGAGATGTACAGGATGAAGGAAGACATGCTAGAGGTTGGGGATAGGAAGCACAGGAAGTCTGCTTCAGTATAAGAAACAGCATTTGAGCATGTAGGATTATATCATAATTCATATGCAAAAGAGTTGCAGGGCTGTTTCTGGCATTTGAGTGCTTTGCATCTGTCTGTCTGATCTTTGTATGTAGTAAATTAGTTGTATTGCAGTGGTATATCTACAGTCCCCAAACTCTTTAGGACTGTAGAATTGAGTCGATACTAAATCATGGATATGTAGCTATATCTGGACATCATAACTGATGGAAGTGTTTTGCTATTTTTTCTTCAGTTCCGTTAAAAAGCCATTTCAAACGCCAAAAGAGGAGGAAGTGCTTTTGGAGGAGGAACCAACTCTGGAGAAGAAAGGTCCAGCACCATAGGCCAAGGCTCCTGAAGGAGCACAAACCACCCAGCAGCAAATGCCTGAAAGCAACTCAGAACCAACACCAAGCTGACACAGATCCAAAGGCAGCTGTCTGCATGCAGCCACAGCAACAACAGCAGGGGCAAGGAGGCATGGCCCCACAGGTGACTGTACAGGTGCAGGGACTGGAGTTCCCACAAGTGACTGTGAATGTGCAGCCACAGATGCAGCTGCTGAGCCAACAATGGGAAGTGCCACAAGTGACTGTGCAATTGCAACAATGGCAACAAGGCCAGGGTGCAGTGACTGTACAGGTGCAGCCACAGCAGCAGGGTCAAGGTAGGGTGGGTTTCCAGGTGACTGTCCAGGTACAGCCACAAGTAAGCCATGACCAAGAAAGGCCACAGGGGACACCACTCCAGGCTGAGGGCCAAGGTGAGGAAAAGTCCCAGGCCACCGAGCAGGAGCAGCAAGAGAACCGAGATGAGAGGGAGTTTACTGTGACTGAGCTGAAGCAAGAGAAGGACGAGGACGTGGAAAGAACAGAAGTAATGAAATTTCAAGTGCCAAGTCAAGAAGGGCTGGAGAAGCAGGCACAAGACCAGAGCCAAGAGGAAGAAGAGTCAAAGGTAGTGGTTCCCCAGAGGCTGGCCCAAGAAGTGGAAGGGAGAGAGACTATAGGACCAAAGGTGATGGACCAGGTGCAGGAACAGCAGCAGGAGGACAAAGGGCAAGATAAACCACCCACATCTAACAAACTGCCACGGGAGATGCCAAATTATTTTGTCTCTATTCCAGTAACAAATGACCAGGTATTGTGAAACTAACTGAATGAAACAAAATGAGCATATCAGATGACTAAAATGCTGTTGTATTCATTGCTAGCACCACTTTATCACTTCCATACTTTTTTTTTTTTTTTAAACAGTGTGTCCAATTCTCTCTCTTTTTCCCCCCCCCCACCCTCCCCCTTCCTTTTCTTTTGTTTTTTTTTTTTTTTTTTTTTTAAACCACCCCCCCCCCCCCCCCCCCTTTCTTTCTTGTTGGTTTTTTTTTTTTTTTTTTTTTTTTTTTAACATTCTGTGGTTCCCTCTAATCGGGGGTGGTGTATGTCTGAATATTTTGCAAATCTCTGTATAGTATTTTTCTAGTTGTACTGTATGAGGTGGAAGTGGTAGATTATACGATCACTCTTAGTATTGTGCCAAATTTTTGACTTTGAAAACAAACTCAAGTATAGATGCACTGTATCTGCAAAATCCTTTTTGGAGAAGGATATAGCAGATCACTTCACAATAATTTCAAGGCCTGTCACAAGCTGGAACTGAACCCTTTTGCAAGGTCAAGAAAACAGTTTAAAATTCCATCCTGTCTTAAGAAAACTGTGGTAAGACTTTTACTCTGAATCCTCCTTTAGTTGATATGTCAAGTACAAGATTTATTTAAACTGCTTATGATGAAGGAATAATTTTGCACATTATCAGCTGAATAGAGTTAGCAGAGAAGTGTCTTATTCCCAGGTTTATATAATATGGGTGCTACTCTCGTTAGAGGAACTAGACGTCTTTTTCTGAGCCTTTTTTTTTTTTTTTTTTCCTTCTCCAGGATAGATGCAGGGGTTGGTTGGTTTGTTTTAGTCCAACATGTTTTTGCATGGTCTAAGCTAAATTGTGCAAATGAGAACAAGATTAGACACTGCACTATAAATGCCGTTTATTGCCTAACTTGGTTAACCACTCCTGAAATGACTTAGCAGGTTGTTCCAGTGCAGACATCAACTGGAACGAATAGCCCCAGCCCCCTATAAATTATAGAAAGGGTCTGTATGTGCTCACCTTCCTACAATCAGACTTAGGATCCTGACTATGCTGCTGAAACTTGAGTTTCTCTTTAAATTTGCTTTTATTATAATTCAGGGTGGAGGCCTATACTCAGCAGGGAACAGGGGCAATAACTTCACTGACCATCTACTTTTAAGGGTAAGGTAAGTGGTTTCTTAAATGGACTCCCCATGCCTCCAGGAATATCTTTGTAACCAGTTGAAGGGGTAGACCAGTCTCTTAGCCATAGAAAACTGGTTGAAAGGCCTCTACATTTGGCACAACTGCTTTTTCCATCATTTGTCTCTACCAGATGCAGGAAACCATTGGCTGATTTCAAACTAACCTTACTGAACCATTCATCTGGGATGACACTAAGCCAGTTTGAAAATCTTTTCAAAATATCCTCTTCTTTGTGACTTGGGTAATACTTAAGAGCCCCTTGAGCTTCTATAATCTTGTCATCAAAACTTGCATCCCTAGTTTCTAGGAACTGGTGCAAAGGATTGTTTTCTGATTGACCTCCTTGCTTTCCCTGGATTTGTGTGCTTTTTTGCAGCTCTTGTTGGTTCATCCAAACCCTCCCCCCCAGCAATGCTTTCTCTATAGATGGAGCCAAAATTTACTGGGATTAAGATTTAAAAAAAAAAAAAACAAAAAAAAACAAAAAACTTTGACTGGCTGCCGTGCAATCAATGAAATGTGACTGGTGTTGTTCCATGTTTTGAGGTTGAGATGGCTATTGGTCTCGACATCCCTATAGGATTTTGAGAATTTCTTCAGCATGAAGCCATGAACATCTACCTCTAGGTTTAAATTAATAAACGAGAAAACACCCTACAAATATATTTCTTGATATTTGGATAGGTTTCAATGCTCTGTCTCACCAATAACCTTGGTGTATCTAACTGGTATCCACCAGAAAGGAATCCATTTTACATGTACATAGGAGGACAGTCCTGAAACTGCTGGTTTTCTGTGGTACATACAGCTACCTGTCTGTCTGTTTTTTATTTGTCTGTATGCCATTATACTTAATTTGCATTGCTGCTTATGATGCATCCTGCCTCCACTCTGCCGCTCCATCATCTAATTGTTTGCAATATATAATTTGACCTTTTCTCTGTTCTGCATAACTTCTCATACTACACTCATCACCATACTATTTAAATGCTTTCCAGATGTGCATTAAAATGTGACTGAACATCTGCTATATCTTTCTGTGTTCTCATTCTTTCTCCAGTGCAAGAAAAACTGTGTAGTCTTTTGTAAGATTTCTTTTATTAAAGTTTCTGGTTGGTTGGTTGTTAGCTTTTTTTTTTTTGTTTTCTAAAACAAAACAAAAAACACAAACAAAAAAAACCCAACAATTTTGCATTTGAGAGAACAAGGTCATTAATATACCTTGGTCTTGACAGATAATGATTTTATGATCTTTGCTTTGGGGTTATCACAAGGGCATGGCAGAAGATCATTGTAACTTTCTGTGATTCATTAAATGGATGCTGTATTGCTCCTCCAATGAGTGAACAAGCGTGGGGGATAAATGTAAGCAAGAGAAAAGAACTGACATGTATCAAATCAGCATGGTTGAAGCTGGAAATTGGAAGAGTTTCTAACCATTAGAAGAGGGATCTAGAGTTCAGCTCCTCCAACAGGAGTACTGAGGGCAAAGTAATTTATTTTAAGATGCGACTGTAGCAAATGTTCCACCCAGGGGTGGTCATGTTGCCCCCTGCTCAGCTCTTGCCAAATTGACTCCCCTTGGGGCCCTCTCCCCTTTTTTACTTGCATGCCATGCTTTTATGTCATCAGTTTCTGATAAAAGGGAGGTTATTTGAGAACTTCCCAAGCCTGATCTTACTCCTAGGACCACAGATGTTTGTGGTCATTGCCTTAATGTCTAGTTTTTGTGGGCTCCATCCTCCCTGGTACCTGCTCCCATGCCTTGCAGGTGATCTGGTAAGAGATGACCTCTCCTGGGCTACAGGCTCCCAGCCCCACTCCTCTCCACTCCTGGGCTCTCTAGCCTTGCTGACCTTACTTTCTCCCTCTGGTAGGCCCCAGGCACTGGAGCTTCCCTTCAATGCACCCTAGTCCCCTCTGGGCATTGGACTGTCTCTGGCTTTCCTAGTACCCTCTAGGCACTGGATCCCCTTCCTCCTAACCCCCTTACCCCAGCTACCAGACCTGATGATGTGCTCTAGTATCCCCTGGGCACTGGACCCTCTTGGTCTTCTTCCCACTACCCCTGAGGCTCCAGACCTTCTAGTCCTTGTGCCTAGTCCTTCCTGGGCCCTCCACCTCTCCCTCCTACTGGCTTTGTTCTTCTGGTCTATCTCTGTCCATCTTCCACAACTACCAGGCATATCTGTTTTGCCCTGTCTTGGGTGCTGGGCCCCTGACCCCATTCCAAGGCCTGCTTTGCTACTCTTGGGCTCTGGTCTACTTGCTGTTTGGAATTTGGGCACCCTGGTCCTCTGCTCTCTACCCATCTCCAGGCTATGGGCTCTCTTGCTCTTCTTCCCAAGCCTGGTCTATTCCTGGGCTCAGCGCTGCTTGCACCAGCTTGGCAGTTATCAGAAGCCTTGCTTCCAGGCGCTCTTATTTCTGTGGACTTCTTTTCACATTTTGAACCTTTGACACCCCCCTTTCTCCCCCCCCCCCCTTCCCCCCCCCCCCTCCCCCCCCCCCCATCCACTCCTACCATTTTCTTCCTTGGATGTCCCACCAAAAAAAAAAAATGATCAGCTGTATCTTTCAAACTTTGGCCCCAAATGGGGCGGGGGGGAAGAGCTATTGGTTAACTAGGTGGGCCTTAAGGCCCATGATCTCTGGGAAGATGCAAATAGACAGGGGTAGACTGCCTGCCCAGCTCAGGCCCAAGGGTTACACGTCTCAAGTCTGGCCCCCTTCTAGTCAGCTGACTCCTTAATGGACTCTTCCCCCCCCCCCCCCCCTTTTGCAGGCTGCTCTTCCAGCAGACTTTTCTCTCAAGAAGACAGGCATGCACCGAGCACCCTGTCACAGTGAACTTGATCTGTTTTGGGACCTATTTTAATGCTAGTTGTCTGTAATTTAAAGAATGGTCTCTGACCCAGGAAGTTCTTTCTAGTCTGTGGCATGCACACGTGTGTGTGTGTGTGTGTGTGTGTGTGTGTGTGTACACAAAAGTGTTTTATGAAGTATAGAATCTTTTGCTTTCTCTTTTCATTTTACTTGTGCCCCTAAGGCTGAAAACAGATGTTTGTATGATTTTTATCTTGGAATAAAATGGTTTACCCTGGGATAAATACAACATCAATCTGTTGCCCTTTTTTAAAGTGTCCTGGATAAGAGGTAGTAACAGTTTATCCCAGGATATTGCAAAGTGTTGGTACAGTTATCCCAGGATTGCATAACTGAATCAATGGCAGAAAAATGGCAGCACATTCAGCTACTGTCCAATACGGGCATTAGTCTATTCGGGGACCAATGCAACATCTGTCCCTAGCCTAAAGAAGTTGTTTGACTGTGAGGGCATGGGGCTTCCTGCCATCTTGCTGCTTCCTGGGCAGAAGAGAGGCCACACTGCCACTTCTGGAAGGTTAGTATTGCAGGCATGCACCCATTGTGACAGGGAATTCCAAGGGGCATTTTACTAACCTAAGCCAATGAACTTCACTTGAACTGGTTTTGACCCAGTATTACTGTGGTTGCAGGGGCAGGGGGGGAAGACTGGGACCCTTCTTTTCATATTTTAAGTGATTAGTAGCCGGTCTTCTTTTTAAAAGAGGAAGAAAAAAATTCACCTTGAAGCCCCTGATGCATTATATTACTTGTGCAATGTACCAGTTAAATGCACAATAAAACTTAGACACGTTACATATGCAAAATAATTATCAGACAGTAAAAATGGCCAACTAGCCACACAGACTTCTTTTGTCTAGTTTCTATCAGGCTTTACTTTGAACCTGTGACAGACATGACCAAACACTCTTTTCAGCATCCCAGGGTAGGCTACTCTTCTCCCCCCCGCCCCTGCCGAGAGTCAGTGATTTATTTATTTATTTATTTTTCTCTTCTGAATTCTACTGCCCCAGGGTCTCTCAGTAGATGTCATGACTGACTTTTCCTCCCTTTTCCCAACCAGTCTTCAAAGCTTTCTTTAAAGAGCTATGAGTACCTTTTCCTGTGAGAAGCAGGAGAGAGATGCTCAACGTGACATGCTTTACTTGCACATAATAGTAATCTGAGAGAAGGGGAGACAGTTTGCTTGGAAAGCTGCCAGTAGAGACAGCATGGGGAAAGACAAGAAGCACAAACTGAAATACCTCCCAAGGTCTGTGGGAGAACTTGAGTCCTGCTGCTCTGGCTGCCTTCTGTCTTCATGTGGATCTCCCTTGATTTTGACAAGGGTCAGGGGAGTGGCTCCTTTACCCAGGGGAGCTCAGTCCTCACTTCTCATTATCAGCATAGCTAAAGGTGTGGGAGGGGGGAATGACAGCCCCTTTCCAGCTCCCCTTGGTTGTGAGAGGAATGATAGTTTCTAGCTCCCCTTGCTGGTGAGTTCTGCAGAGCACATTTCCAGGACACCTTTTCCCCCTCTGGATAGCTTGTCCTGTGAACATGAAGCAGGTCATGGGGCATGATGCACCTGTTGCTTGATTGGAAATAATGTCTGCCAGTGGCTTTGCTTTAGCAAAAATTGCTGATCTGTTTGTTAGATACCATGATGCAGATGAGGTTAGCAGAAAGTGTAGGAAGAAAGCTCTGGTGGGATTTAATATAGAACAGTGGTTTTCAACCTGTGGTTCATGGACCCTTGCTGTTCCCCTTTTTGACAGTCTGTGGTCAGCAAAAGATGATTATGATCAATTGTAAATGTGGGTATCCATATATTTTTAATTCAAATAGTCTGCACCTCCATTTGAAAGTTTTTAGGGATCTGCAAATGAAGAAAGACTGAAACCCACTGGTCCAGAGTTTTCCCCACACCCTCTTTTTCAGGGAACAGGAGATATTTTGTGTAGGTCCTTTTCATAATGGAGAGTAGTCTGCACAAGATGGTTGGTTAGTTATTAGATTTACACCCTGCCCTACCCAAAAGTCTCGAATCAGTTTATAATAAGCACGCAACCCACAACCATGATTCCCCATACAACTCCCCAAAACCAGAGAACTTCCCCCACCCCCCATCCAACCTTGATGCAAGCAAACCTCTTGCCAACCCCAACTGCCACTTGCATCCTGATACAAGAAATCTCTTCCTACCCACTCCCCCTGCCCTGACTCATCCCCAGGGGGAAATCTCTCCTCCCCCACCCTCCTGCAACGTTTCCTCTAAGCCAGCAACCCCTCTGCTACAGAAAATCTGAGAGTGTTACCACCTTCCTCCAAAGTCATTCCTAACTTCTTTCCCTCCCCCCAATGAACACAATGCAAATTCCCAAGCATGTTGACAATCAAGTAAAAGAGAGACTTTTTCTGGCCCTACATTGGTCACCACCAGAAGAGTGTCCCTAAACAGCACAATGGGCAGAGTGACTTTTTTTTTCTTACCTCCAGAATACTTGCGGGGGTGGTATAGATGTGCCCTTTGCTATGCAAGACTTTAACCTGCTCAGTGGAACTGAAGTCATTAGTTTCCACTGCTCATCTGATACTGTGAACCACTAAGGTATTGCTGAAGAAAAATGTTTGATTCTGATCAATCTTCTTACAATCTGAGGGAGTGCCACACTCAAGGCAGTTTGATATTGGAAATACAGATAAGTAGTACCTTATTCTATTAAATTAACTGGCTGCAAAGTGAGGTGTTATTCACTGTGAGAAATTGTCCAAAAACTTGTAAGAATTCAAGTAGCTCAGTGTTGTTTCATACCTTCAAATTGGTTGCCTTTCTATGTGTGTTTTTTGTATTGAAGTTCAGCAAATATCCATTATATTTCCCCCTTATTGTACCAGCATTTTTTTGATTTGCTACAAATATGCCAATCCTTCATCATGTGGAACAAAAATCAAGTTGCTCCCAAGAAGAAAGTAGATAATTCATGCTCTAATATTAAGTCATTTGACTGAAGCATATGTGTTTTATGTACATATGCTTGCTCTTATATATATTCCTGAATACATACTCTGGAATTTTTATAATTTACTTTTTGGAACCATTTGAAAATATAAATGTATAAACAGAATTTTACAATCTTTGTGTATACTAGCATCTGTCTCTCTCTTCTCCTCCCCCCCCCCCCCCCCCTTATCAAAGACTGTTTTTTCAGAAAAAACTCTAGGTCTCATCATGTCAAGACCCAGAACTGCATGGTCAATTCCTATAAGATTCCATCCTTGGAGAAAAGCACATTTAATCTGTTGAATTATGGGTTGGCTATTCCAGTTCCCTTTGGGAAGAGACATCAATTTAATCTGTGATCAAATTTGTAATCAGAAAATGGTATAAGATTAATTATGGAAATGCTATTCAATTTCCACAGTCTATTAACAACTGACATCTGCATGACGATCACATTAACATTTACACATCACTGCTAGCTTTATTCTAGCACACTTATGGTCAAGTTTAGAACTGGTATAAGATCCATGGAGTTTGCTTGGCTTATGTGTGGGCCAAATTCAGAACTCAGGCTTTCAAAAAGGAAAGCATATTGGCTGATTCTTGAATTGGTTTAGCCATTCTAAACCTTAAGGTGCAAATTCTGCTTGGGTTTACACCTTTAACCACCTTTAAGTTCAAGAGGCTGTGCAAATGTAGCTGAGGACAGAATTCCAAGTATGTTTACTTGGGATTTTGAGCTATAAGTGCATATCTTCTCAGCCTGAAGAACCCAGGTGCAGGACCTTCACAAATCTCAGAATTACTTTCATTCAGGTGAAGGTAACTGGTTCCTGAGATGTTCATTTCTTTCTTTCTGGAAAATTTGGATTCTTTTAGTTTAAAATGATATGCTTTTCATCTGTTTACTGCATTGCAGATTTTAGACAAAATTGAAGATGTACAGGAACTCATATTTACTAAAGAACCTGCTTTGTTGAGAGCTTTAATTCCTGTTCAGACTATGCATCTTACCATCATTGTTGCTCATCTGAGAACAGAAGAAGAAGTAAAAAAGTAAGAATTAAAATAAATGCAAAGAAAAGTTTCTTTAAAATGACTCCAGGGCCTTTCCATTCAAAAAAGCCAAAGCGGAAAAATTTTCTAGGCACTAGTGAATATAATTATTCATAACTACAGTGCTAAACTATCTGCTTTGCTAAGCACTGCTTTTATGAAATCTAGATACAACATAACATTGGAGCTTTAATTTTTTAAAATTAGAAGATCTTGCCAGTGCATGGAAGAAAAGCAGCACCATGCATTTAAATACTTCTTTGTGATAATTAAATGAAAAATGCTGACTTTTCTGAGCTTTCCTGTACAAATGCATTTTGGAGTGACTATAGATTCTTAGAGGGAAGTTATGACTGGATTAAATGGAAAGTCTTAGCTCCTGAGATGCCTTTAGTCTTCCATAAAACCTAAAGAGAAGAGGAAACTGAATTGAAAGGGAGCCCTATTTTGAATGGCTATTAGTCTTTATAAGAAGGACTTCAGCATGGCCAGCTCAAATGATTCTGAATGTATTTAAAAGTAATTTTACATTTTTAATTTGGGAAACTCAACTGATTGAAAGAAAATTGTCTGTCTACATAAATAAAGATCTAGGAATCCTCTTCTTAGGACCCATCAAATAGTAATTTGTCTGAAATGAGGTTGTTGTTTTTTTTTATCGGTATGGCCCTTTGAGTATTTTGGTAAGCTTGCAAGAAGGGATATGAGAGGGGAAAGCCTTTAATAATGTGATTGATTTCTGCTATAGCTGCTAATTAGGGGGGCTGCCCTCCCAGAGGCTGAGGACATGATATGAATGTGAATCAGGTGGCTGAAGAGGTGATTGAAACTAACAAGTGTCAATGAAACTAAAAGTGTGTGCATGCACACACACGAATGGTTATATCTAATAAAAAGAAGTCTTCCTGACAAATTCTCTCCATGTTTTACCCTCTTATTGGTAGAGCTGTACTGCACAGGATCTTCCTCTAGCTGGTGCTTTCTGTTAAGCACATGAAAGGACCCAATTACATTTTGTGAGTGAGTATTTTTAGGGCGTGTAGATGAAACTTGGGGTGGGGGGAAGGCACCTAAATAGAAGTGGTGGGTTTTTAAAAACACCACTTCAATTTAGGGCCAAGTAAACCCCCATGTCATGCACACACCCTGCTGAGCCACCTGCCTTTCCGGCGGTGGGGAGGGGAGGGCGAGCTGCCAGCTAGTGGAGCGGTCCCTGGGTTGCGGGGATGGGGCTGGTGCTTCCCTCCATGGCAGCAGCGGCTCCTGCCTGCAGGCACATGGCTCGGGTGGTCCTGGGGGGCACCACAGCTGCAGAGGGAAGCACTGGGCTCCTGTGCAGCTCAGGCAGGCAAGGTCCAGGGGAGGGGAAAAAAGAAGGAAGAAAAAAAAAAAAAAAAAAAAAAAAGATCTTGGCTTTTTTCTTGGGTGGAGCCTGCCTTCCTGGGCTGCTGCCAGGCTGCCTGCACGGGCTTCCTGCAGAGCCCCTGAGCTGCATGGAGTCTGGTGCTTCACTCTGCAGCTGTAAGGCAGTGAACTAAAGCTCCTTGAGGAGTTTGTTTGCTGTGCCCCAAGTTGTTTAAGGTCTATCATGCTGCCAAATGTGCTACAGCAGCTGGAATTGCTGCACAATACGCTGCCAACATGTGCAAAAGCATTTAATCTGCTTTAAAGTGTTGTGCACATGTGCCCCTCATTTTGTCTACACATGGCTTTACTTCTCAATCTTAAATTATTGAAGCCGAGTCTGTGGAAAATGAAATATCTCACTGTAGAGCAAAAATTCATCCAGCAAATTTCATTACATTTGTTATTTTGAATGGTGATTATCCCTTAGCTACTGATGTGACATCATTCAGATTATGGTGAGAGAGAGAGAGAGAGAGAGAGAGATTCTGTTCAGTGGTCCCTCCAAAAGTTCTTGTCTTCTAGTAAGTCCTAGGTCAGCAGCTTTTATATTAAAATAGAAATAAGTGTCCTCTGGTAGTGAAGACTCTCTCTAATATAGACAGTCCATGGTGTCAGTAAAATATTAAGTGCCTTCTGCATGCACAGAACAATGTCAGGGGCATTAACATTCACACTTGCTGCATCTGAAGACTAACCATGGATTATACAATGTGTCCTGTATGCAACAGTTTACTAAATTTTTGGACAAAATTTGGACAACTTGATTCTATAAATCAAACACGCTAACTTATGTAATTGACAGGTAGGTGTCCCGTAACCTTATTTTCTACCTGTGACAGTTGCCATCTTGGATGATATACCAGTGACCCCCAGCATGAGTTTTTCAAGAGCCAGGATGTGCATTTGGAGGACAAATTGTAACTGACAATTCAGTTGCATTTAAATTGCAAACCCCCCTGAATAATGACAAACCTCTTACTTAAACATCTCAGTGCCTGATTTAGCAAGGTAATTAAAGCATGTTAGCAATGTAATATGTAAGGTACTTAATTTTAGCAAGATGTTTTAAATATCAGCTTATGCACTTGCCCAATTTTTATTATAGCCTTTCCAAAAATATTGTTTCGGATTTGTAATGGCTTCTGTCCATCATCCAAAGGTTAAATGATCTCCCACTGGGATCATGGATTGTTTTATCTTTAACACTACAGAAAAATAGGTTAAGTTGTAATAGTAACATTTAATGATAGCACAAAAAATCGAAGTTTGTTCTTTTGTGTGACTTTTTTTTCAGTCTGAAAGAACAATGTAGTATACTTTTGATGTACTAACAATATTGGGCAAAATACTGTAGATGTATCAAACTCTAAGTGCTTGAAAAGGCTGTTTAAGGGTGTAATGTATCTCAGTTTACTCAAACCACTTCCATATCTTCTATCTGTAATCCAAGTGATTGTATTGAACCTTACAGCAAAAAAGCATTTTGCTCTCATACCTTCTGTAACACTGAAGAATGGTCTCCTTGCCAAAAATTGGAAGCATCATAGCAATCTCTCATAGCTCTAGTGTTATTCTCTCTGGGTGATTATTAACCTGTCAAGTGAATCTGCCTTTTTAAGGTGTTGATTTTATTTATTTTTAAGGGCTGTCTTGGCACTGAAACAGAGCAAAGCTAAAATAGAAGCCATCTTACAGGGTAAACTCCTTAACATGACCTTTCATGGAATTGGGCAATTCAACAACCAAGTGGTATATGTAAAAATGTCAGAGGATGAACAACAAATGCTAAGTAAAATTGCAGGTAAGCATTTATTTAAACTGACCTGCCACTTGCATATGATTTTATTTTTTTCCCCAATATTTCATAGGGTTACCTTAAATATTCAGGATGGCTGGGACTCCTGTGGGGAAGTTTTCACATTTTATTTTTGCTTTGTAAACAACCATGGGGAAAAAAATCTTTGCTTAAGACACTTCTTCTTTTTTTTTTTCTATGTAGTTTAATCATGGCTTCCCCTCAAGGGAGGGATGGAATAAGTTTTATGTACTAGTATGGGGAAACTGAGGCACAGAAAAGTTAAGTTGTTAAGGTAATTGAACAAGTCTGTTGCAGAAGAGGAAACTGGAGCTGTTAATTTTCCAAAATATTCTGTCTTCAAGACTATGTGCGTGTGTGGTGTGTCTTTTAAAGAGGAGACTAAAAAGGCTTACTAGAGAGTGCAGAGCAGTGTCATTAACATTTGGAGGTTCTACAAGTGAGTGTTTACTTCCCCCATGCTGTGTTTACTAGTATTTTCTCTGCAAGCTATTCTTGCCTGCTATCATCAGTCCCAGAGATGGCTGCATTTCTGTAGCTGGGATGCATGGTATTTGTGCCCGAAAGCTTGCAAAGAACTTTTTTTTCCTAACTATTCGGTTGGTCTAATAACACATCTATCCAACTTTGCCTGATATTTGTGAAGCACTTTAGGATCCTTTAGACTGAAGTTGCTATAGAAGCATGACCTAATTTTCCTGAAAGAATGTGATTTACTGTTCACTTTTTACTATGTACAAAATTCTTAAGAATACTTAATTTCTTTAGGCAAAAATAGCTCGAAACTAATTCATGGGGAAAAAAAAATTACAGAAAACTTATGAAATCTTTATTCTCAGGGAAGAATGGCTGATAAGCATTTCTGTTTGCTTTCTGCATTCAGAAAGGCTTCAGACTGTCTCTCCTTAAGTTTCCAAAAGCTATTTTAGCCTGCAGTGCAGAGCCTAGTCTGAGCTTTTGGATTCCCAATTCCAGCAGAGCAGAAATAATCAATATATGATGGCATTTTTTGCCAACTTCATACTTGGCCAAAAATAGCTTCTTCCAACAAATGTTTCTCAAAACATGTTCAGCACAGAATTGGCCATATGTTTGTATCCGACTTCTGTCAAAATATTTCCCCTTTTTTAAAGGAAAACAGAGTTCCATAATTAGTGATGAATAAGAGGATAATGCATACCACTCTACCAAAAACCAAATGTGAGGTGTATGTGTTTTTTGGTAAACTTCTGCTTCACTATTAAGGCTATTTAGTTAGCTACCACATTTGTTCATTTTGATATTTAATTCATAATCAGAATATTTTTTCCCCTCTGCTCCTTCCTTTTCCCCTCTCTCATTCTTGAATTCTTAAACTATGCTGGCTCTTCTTCCCCTCTTAACTGTTTTTCCCCTTCTCTAATAAATGGATAGTATTGTACCCAGGTGGGAAATGTCTCTCTCAACTGTTTGTCTCTGTGCATCTCTGCTAAATAAAATTAGGCACTTCACTATCCATTACCTTTTGCTGGACTCTAACCTTCATCTTCCTTGATTATCCTCTGGTATGGATGTAGATAATTTTGGACCAAACCAGCTGTGCTTTTGTTAAAAATAGTCTGACACTGCCTTGCTCATTTGGAATAGAACCTGAACAAATTTCTCTATGCCCAAACTGTTTCTTTTTTGATATACCCTTGATACATTTGTCTAGAGACAAAATTATCCTGATTTGTGTTAGATAAATCCACATCATGTGCCCCTTTTACTTTATTCATCCACCAATCTTGGTACTCTAAATTTAACACTCTCCTGTGTCCCCTCGAAACAACATATTATAGCATGTTCTTGAATGCCTATCGAAATAAACACTGCATATACTGTTCTCTGCCATATACCCCTCCAAACAAACCTTGTAGAACTGACTCTCTTCTCAAAGTCCCCATGTCATTGTTGCCGCTTACCCCTTACCCATTATCTTTTTTTACGGAGGGGTATTATTTTTACTGCCAATCACTCATGCCACATAAGAGCTATGTCCATCATACAAGTATCATACAAGCAGAGATGCATGGAGCTTCCCCCCACCCCCCAATTTTGACCTGTTCCAGGACTGCACCCTATATATAGTTATCTTCTATGACAACTGAAGTTGCAGTAATTTAAAACTTGGTTACAATACAGGGGCACAAACTCCCACCTGGATTGTCTGTCTGGATAACTTAGAAACTTCAGGAGTTTTGGAAACAAGGGATCTAGTCCCAGTGATATTAACGCTTCTCCCATTCTATCAGGAAGAGAATAATTTTGATTGCAAACCCCAGGCATATGCTTTCAGTGCTTGGTTTCTAAGATATGATTGTTCATTGATTGCCTGTACTACTTCAAAAGTTGCTTGACCATGAGACAGCCTGCAAGTTTTTGAACTATGACCTTTATTACCAGTGTTTTTGCTACTCAGAAAACACTCAAGGAATATAGTATGCCTTCTCTTTATCCTCTAAGCACATAATGAGACTTGAAAATATGCATCAAAGGCCATGCCAATTTGACTGTACTGTCTCCATTGTGAGTTTTTAGGACCAGTACCAAGATGCCTGTCTTGGCCATTTGCTCCCATGCAGGATACAACAAAGCTAAAAATAAAGGGTGTAGTTTATGCTGAAATTGAGTACACTCCAAAATACAGGACCAGGATACAAAGCCAGGAGTGGTCCTGGGGCATGTGCTCAGTAGGGGTGTGTGAAACGGGCCATATTCGATTTCCCCCTCGCCCCCCAGATTTGGATTTGGTCCAAATTGGGGACAGTGATTCGATTTTGTTGATTCGGATCACTGTCCCAGATTCAATTCAGCTGAATCTGAAGATTTGATGCTGTTTTAGAGACTCGGCGATTCGGACATAGATATAGCTTTAAATGTTTTTTTCCTACATACTTCGAGGTACCGGGTGCAGCTTGTGAATGCTGCGATGCTGGGGCAGATGGAGCATCCCACAGAAGCATGGGGGGGAGGGGGGAACCATGCGCTCAGCAGCGAACCCGGAAGTGGACTGGAAGTACTTCTAGTTCACTTTTGGGGCCGAGCATGGGGGGGAGCCCCCCCGTGTGCCCCTAGCTCAGCAATCATCCAAGGGAGGCACCCCAGGTGCCTCCCCAGACCCAAAAGGCACCAGTTGTGGGGCATGCAGGGGGGTCCACGCGATCCCTGGTGGACCCAGAAATGGACTGGATTCATAATGACCCAGAATTGGACTTCCAGCCTCCTGCCGAGTGCACTGGGGAGTCCCCTGTGTTCCTGTGGGACACTCCATGCACCCAACCATTGCAGCATTCACAAGCCACCTGGTACCTTGAGGTACGTAGAAAAAACATTTAAAGCTGCGTCTGTGTCTGAAATAGTGAAATCTTTCCAAATCTCTCTGAATCAATTCAGAAGGTTCCCATTTAATTCGGAGAGGTTAAAGGGTCTCCTGACTCGATTCAGATTTGGCCACCAAATTGGCCTGAATCTCTGCCAAATCAAATCGGGGACCAAAGCTTCGTACAGCCCTAGTGCTCAGGCATGCTTGAAGCTGGCTACATTGCCCAATTTTTGTGACTTACCCACTGAGCTGGTGCCTAAAGGCATTTTTTTTTCTGCCACAGTGCCAGGATCAGTGAAGACAAGCCTGGAATCTTTCTTGAAATATATCTCTGATTTAAATGCATTCCCAGTTGATTAGATTATCCCAGTACAGAGCAATTGCTGTAAACACAAAAAGCAAATCCTCTTTGTTTCCCTGTTGCCCCATTTCTTCTCTCTCTCTCTCTCTCTCTTTCTTTGAGCAGGGTGTAGATTAAGCATTGCTTTTTGGACTTTGTCAGGTTTTCAGAAAGAAAATCCATTCATAAGAATGATTGATTTATTCAGGTGAAGTTCAGGTAGCTTACTACCAGCTCGGTTAAACACGGAGTTGGAATGGTCTTACCAATAGTGATTTTTGGTCAGAGTGGGTCAACATTTTGTAATTCTGAATTTAGTGAAATTTTCATAGGATTTGTAACACATGGAAACAAATACTTAGACATCCCCTTTCTCTAGTATTTATGTTCTGGAGTTGGCCTGACCTCTAAAATGAACTTTCTGTCTCTTGATGTCAAACAATGCCTTAGAACTTGGTACCCATAGGCTGCCAACAGATGTGAAAAAAAACAAACAAACAGCACTTTACCAGAAGAGGAAATGCATCAGTTTAACTCTTTTCCCCAGGATCCTAGCATCTGTATAGATTGGGTGTTTCAGCAGAGATTTTTGGCATTTTTATATAAAGGTGATTCAGTCAGCTACTAGATAAGTGCCAAAAAGCCCCGCTGAAGCACCCAATCTATACAGATGTTGGGTGAGCTGAATCAAATTAACACAATGCTTCTTCTGGGCATGTACTGTGCTCAGTGCATGGGGAGGGGTAGGGGGCATTGAGCTGAAAGTAAAGCTTCTTTTTAACATCTGTACGCAGCCATAGATCTCTGGGTCTGTTCTGGAAACTGGTATTCCTCCCCCAACTCCATACAACAAGTAATTTTATTATGTAGAAATGAAATTTATGAAGTGAATAGATAATTATTTATAAAATGTCCATTTTTGTGGCTTATTTAAAACTTATGCTACAGTCATCTCAAGCAGTTATTACAGAGCTAATGACTAACTCTTCTTCAAAGTAGGTTTAAGTGGAATTTTCTAAATCGGACAAATTTTTTTGGAGTATTCCTCAGGGCTAGGGACAAAAGTTACACAAACTGGTTTTAAGTGATCAGAAACTGGTTTAAACCTGTAACAGAGCAGAAGCTCAGTGAACATAAACCAGCTTCAAAATGGCTGAAACTGGTTTGAGATAAACCTGGCTGAATGTAGTATCAGACTTAACTGATTTGGGTCAAACCTCTTTTTGAAACTTCTGTCCTAGACCCCTTCCTGGTTTTAGTTAAATTGGAGTCCCCCCACATCCCTGCATGCTTGCTTTTCAG